CATAACTATCAAATACATATAAGATGTGACCCAGGACTTGATCAAAGAGTTTTTAATACTCCCTCGTCGTCTCAAGTAGCTGCTGTATGGATTGAAGATGATGGAAATGCAAATGCTCACTTTCGTGATATTACTATATACGGGCATTCTAGTGATTCATATAAGGTTAATTATTATTATGGTTGTTATGATCATTTATAATATCCTTTGCTTTTTGCATATGGGGAATTTGATTGGCATGAAGGTATTGATAGATGCAAAAGTCAAACTCAAAATTTGCCCAATTTTGATGATTTTCCTAGCACAATTAATTCTGCATCTCAAATTATTTTTTTAGAAGTTACCAATGGAGCCTCAATATAGGAGATTACATATATGGCAAGCATATTTATCTTTTTGTAATTTTGATATTATTTCATATTAAATGTGTAAATAATTATCTTGCAGATTTCCTAAGTAGGAATATCGAATTTGGAGATGGATAATATCAAACAAATGATATCAGAGATAAAATCTGCGGCAACTCACTAAAGATGAAGCATATGATATAAAAATTGGGATGGAGACATTTGCTGAAATCTTGAGTTATAATGTTAAATTATTACTTGAGATCAGTGAATCTCATACCAAGTTTACAAACGAGATGAAAAAACAAAATTGATGCTGTTGAAGCACAATTAATGTCTATGGATATAAACATAGATATAAAGATTGATATTTTAGCACAATCTCTTGATAAGACCAGGTTAATACAAACATGAGATATAAACAAGTTGATACAAACAGGAGATACAAACAGAATGATTAAAAGAGACAATGATGAAGGAAGCAGTAGTAGACCCCGAGGAGATGTCATTATCAAAAGTCCAAAGAAGATAACAATCAATGAGAATCATACAAGGACTATCAGGATAAGGATAGATGAACCAGAGGATGCTACCCCTTTAACGCCAAAAAGAAGAAGAATATAAACAATTTACAAAAAAATGTTTATGAACTTAAATCAACATATCCATATTATATATCTCCAAAAGATTATATCTACCTAAGATTGATAATTATGAAAGGAGCAGATCCAGTAATGACCAAGATAGCAACAGACTTTGGATATACTGATCTAATCTATCCAGATACAGCATTAAAAGAAATTGAGAAGTTTGATGATATCTTAAAAAGTCAAGTTTCACAATTTGCACAGAATAGACCAATATATATGAAATTCTACTCCATAAGTCCAGAAGTTGAAAATGGAATATATAATCTAGCAGAACATATAATCATAATCGAATATGTTGGAAGAAATTTCCAAATGGATATAGGAGAAGGTGAAAAACCAGTTCCAAATTTCTCTAAAGCATGGATAAAAAATAGAAGGGTACTAGGATACAAAGTTCTATACAATATGTCAAAAAATTTGTATGAACAAAAATTCCGATATCTATGCCAATACAATGGATGGACACTTTTAGCAAATGATAGTAAATAAGAATCAGAAA